GCCTACGGCACGGTGAAGTGTGATGGACACTATAAAATCATGCAGAAATTAGGCTATCTTAAGTGACTCACACACATAGAGTCAAGCAGGGCTGTCTAGTATGTATGCATGTACATATACATGCATACATAGTAGACAGCCCTGCTTAACTCCATTGATCATTTCGGATGCTTCTGAGACTGCATGATGTTCTGTGGAATGCGCCACTATTCCGCCGTGGACCTGACCCGTCAAGATAGCCTAATTTCTGCATGATTTTATAGTGTCCATCACACTTCACCGTGCCGTAGGCTTCGAGCAGGTTCCCGAGGGTAGTGTAGGAGTGAGTCCACATTTGCTGACATTTCTCTTACAGTCGGTGGTCGGCGAAGATCATGTCAACAGTGCCGCGGATGCTTTGAAGTTCACACTGGCTTTCTGGGAGGAGTCGCTTTTTCCAGGTGCGTGTTCATGCGATTGGGGAAAACGCAGACGAAGATTTTCCGTGAAATGATGAGGAGGGAAATGTCTCGGTTTGCGCCTCAGAGTTTTCGGGTTTATTTCCGTTTGTAGAGCTGAACGACTGTTGCGTCCTCGAATATGTCGCGACCAACCATATGACTGGCTTTCATCAGAATCATCACACATCCCTCTTTAGTATTACTATCTATTTCATGTTGATGAACCCACACCGTGATGAGCGCTCTGGGGCCAGCGTCGACTACAGGGCCGACAGTCATCTCCTCAGTACACAACACATGCGGACACCGACGTGTCCATCCGTGACTTCTGTCCAGGACCTGTTCTTGGCAGACGAATGAACGACCAACGCCGCGAAAGATGCGAATACGAAACAGAGGAAGACCTTCTGTCCTTCGGCTGCTCAGCCTCCGGGTCGACCATCAACACGAACAAAACGGTGATCATGCACCAGCCGTCGTCCAATACTGAATGCAATGCCCATCGTATCACTCTCGACGGCACCCAGCTCAGGACGTGGACAAATTCGTCTATTTGGGCCGTACACTCACAAAACACAAAAATCGACGATGGGGATCAGCACTGGATCTCCGAAGCCAGGCAGGCCTTCGACTGGCTGCATGTCTTCATCTGAAACCGCTTGACTGAAGACGATACTAAAAACTTACAGTACGGTAGCCTTGGCAATGCTACTATTAGAGACAGTAACCAGCATAGTCTGCGTCAAAAGATCGTGGAAATTCAATCATTTCAATCCTAGCTGCCCACGGAGAATAATAAAGATGAGATGTCAAGACAAGATCACGGACACAAAGGTCCTCGGACGGGTCGGAATCCTCAGCGTCCACGCCCTGTAGAGGTAGCTACAAGTGCGATGGTATGGAAACCTCGCGAAAATTTTCTGACCAATATAGTAGTATATTTAGCGTAATGGGCATTGCCATTGATGACCCTATTGAAAACGGTAAATACAGTATTCATTTTAAATAAACATGCTATTGAAATGTTACCACTAACGCCTTCATTTGCACAAAGATATTGTTGACAGTGTGGAACTGCAACCCAAAAACCAGCAGTTTTTTGAAGGTTACAGGCTCAAGATGGTCCTTTTCGTGTACAGTTAAGATTATAAACGCAATTATATACCATCAGCACAAAATATGGCCATTTGCGTAGTTTGTGGAAGATAACTGAATCAAACGTGTATGAGTGCGTTACATCGGAAGTGAAATCAGGAAATAAAGTGTATGGCTGGCCGTAGATAGTCCTGTAATGAGAGTCGCAGTTTATCAAAAATCAAACGATCCAACTACCATGGTATCAGTTGTCACTATTTCACTTGGGAGTGAGTTCTACAGTCGAACTACACGCCGACTTAATGAAGACTTTCGATGGTCTAGGCATGTACGATTCCGCTCGATCTTGTACGAATGAACGCGCAGGTGACTCATGTTCGTGAACCCAAAGAAATCTTTAGATTGGAATGAGCAATCATGGCAGCGGATAATGAGGAATGTCCATGACAGATTACACCCCATTTGTCTATAGAATAGGGGGAAAATAAGGCAGGAGCAATCTTTCTGCATATGTCAGAGTCCTAAGACCGCCCACCAAATTTGTCGTCCGTCGTAGCACCTGATCAATGGCACCACTGTCTTTCTTCATTCAGAGCATCCACGCCGGCATTCTGAATTCCAAATGCGTTCTGACGAACGTACCAAATATCAGCACGAAGAGTTCGAGTGGAAAGATTACGAAGGCATGCCTAATTCAGTGCATAATGCTGATTGCCTTTTCGACGGCTTTTTGCAATATTCGGGGGGCAGCAAGTTTGAACTCGTCCAGGCACCTAGGTCTTCTGCTGCGACGTCGTCGTAGGTGCTCGCCGATAAAGCAAACAACAGTGACGTTACAAGAACAGTTGGCAGACCTTCCTTAAGGACCTACAGATCTATCTAACGGGCTGTGAAGACCTCACTCAGAATGGGGCGACCCGAGAAGGGCCAGTAAAGAATGGAACGACAATCTTTGGAGTTACCCGGCTTGCCACTGCCGAAGCCAAAAGAGCGGCTCGCAGGTCTCAAGCGCCTCCGACCCATAACATCAACGTCGCACTGCCTCCAGCAAGTCCACACTGCCAGCAAGCATTCCGCTCGTGAATCTGCCCCGTCGGACCTCTCAGAACCCTTGTAATGACGACCTTACAACTTCGTCTGCTGCCTCTGTAAACGCTTTCGTCTTCTTTCTTCAGCAGTCCGCACAACACTGACGACGACCACCCCCAACAGCGCCACAGCTGACCACACTCCTTAAGCCCCGCTGCTGACGTACACCTTCACCTTCATAATCACTGCCATGGCCTCCGCGACGACCCCGACAATTATTATCCTCCCTCCCACTTTTACTACGACTGAGAACACTTCCGACGACCCTCTGACTACCGCCCTTGCCCTCACCGCCACCGCACCCGCCACAAGAACTGCGAACTTCATTTCTGTCCTCATCGCAATTATACCTTCGGATCACGTACCAGCCTGATCAGCCGCTTTAGAATACGTCTCAGAGACCGAGGAACCAGTGTCACGAGCACTAACATGCACCACCCGCACCCGACTCCGTAGCCCACAGTACTCACGCAAATTCAGTTACCGCCGGGACCTATCTAGTCACGCGCGTCCCCGTGTTTACCTGCCGTAAACCGCCACAGTTAAATTCCAACGTCATCAGCCTCCCCAACGGACAGTCAGACAGTCGATTCTTACGATGTCCACTATGTGCCCTATTGGAAGATGGGAACAGGGATGGTGACTTGCGAACAAATTAGTTTATAGTGACAGTAAGCGTGGGTTACACCTATCACTCTCCCTCCCCTTCACCTACCTGGATCCGGTGTCAGGAAAAAGTCAATAAGACCAGCGACGGGGTCGGGTGCAGACGTCAAGCGCGACGTGAGACCGCAGACAGACGAGCTACCACACCTCCATTTGGGGCATTTGTTAGGGGCGCGCACCCAAAAACAACGCTATGCCCACCCCAACATATAAATTGCATATGAATTCGACCTTCATAAACAAACACAGGCATGGAATAAACACCTTTCTTATAAATGGAACGCGTTTCTAGGCTCCTTGTCCATTTGACATTCGAGCCAAGTACCCCTGCATGTGAAAACCCTGTGCATTGTGTGGGGCTGGTCGTGTGTGTCACGCGTAAAGGAGCTATCTCAGTTCTGTCTGTCACTGCGCTCAATCTCAGCAGTATTTGGTCGACGAGCCCGGATGATCAACTAGCGCATAGTAGAGGAAAGAGAGAGAGAGGTCGACTCCGAGGACTCCGTTGTATTTGCCGGGCTCTGTCTTTGCTATTAGCCTCTTCCGGTTTGCCAATTTCCCTTTGACGAGAAACTTTTAGGATCCTCATTAACTCTTATCAGCAGAAAGTCCAATATTAAGTGTACCTATTTTAGTCTCACTAGTCACAGTCACTTTACATATTTTCGGCGAATTTTTCTTCTGAAATGAGCTTTTTGACTATTTGCACACTTTTGAATCTTGCCGCCTCCTGGATATTTTGAAGACTCCAGTGAGCACACATCCACTCCAGCGGCCGTCATTAATATAAACACAATTTGGCCACTCTTTTTACTTACTTAACCGGTCTGAGGTTTGTTTTTGGGCATTTATTCCGTTTTCATCGACGGCGTTCACACAGGTACTCAATTAATTATCCTTTAGAACAGGGGTAGATCCGCAGTGGCCTCTATTTAATATGAATTTAGATGCAACCATAACTTCTGTGAGATCCGAAAAATTTCCATAATGACACAATTTCATGTGCACTTATGGAAGATGTCGAGTGTGGCATTCGCAAATCCTATATTTACCACTGTGCACCACAATGCCCATGCTGACCTCCCGTAGTTTTGACCCTAACAATCAGTGCGCGGCTAATTTCCAAGACAAAAATACGGCGAATTACATCAAATTAAACTCTCAAACAAATGTCTGTGGGTCTTGCAGCTGGATCCACCTTACAGGCCACAAGCAGACTTCGTGGCTAGCACCAATAGACATAAGCGTGCGTTCAGACATGCGTTTTGTATTGAATCAGAGATTACTGTTAAGCTAGGTTTGGACAATGTATTCGTCAGAGAAATGGTTTCTTGCGTGCCTCCAAGACAGCTCTTAGGCCTTTTTACTTTGGTTTCAAATTGAAAATGCAAAAATTTCCAAGGGTGCGAGAGAGTTTACTCGGTCACCCTCCTCATTTTCGGGCGCAGTTTGCAATCGGAATTAAAAATCCAAGCGAGTTACGTAAACTCTAGAGATAATTTTCGGCAGTTTAAATCCAAAAAACTACTTGACAATATTTACTTCTCAGTTGTATCCTCCAATTTTTTTCCAACTAGAATATTTTATAAAACTTTGTTTGAATGCGTGGGATTCCTAGCCACTTGGCGAAATTTATGAGCAGGCGTGTTGGTCTCCTGTGGTAAAGAAACGTAAAAAAAAGTTCAAAATCTCATAAAACCCAAAAATATAATGGCTTCAACCAGTGCTCAGACTCAAAATATCCCGCAGACGTCTCTCTACGTCGGCGATTTGCATCCCGAGGTCTCTGAGTCGCTCCTCTATGCTACTTTTTCGACCGCGGGACATGTGTTGACCGCCCGTGTTTGCCGAGATGTGGCACTGCACACGTCTCTGGGATATGGATACGTTAACTTTGAAAACCCAAAAGATGGTTTGTCAATTTTTACGTTGATTTAACTTTCCCAGCCGAGAGGGCGCTGGAGAATCTGAACTACGAGTCCCTTTTTGGTCGGCAAATCCGTATTATGTGGTGTCAGCGTGATCCGTCTCTCAGGAAGTCTGGTCGTGGCAATATTTTCATAAAGAACTTGGACAAGAGCATTAACCAGAAAGATCTCTATGACACCTTCTGTAACTTTGGCAAAATCCTATCCTGCAAGGTAACTGACCTACTTGAGTTTACATTATCTAGATTGCGATGGACGAGAATGGAGTTTCAAAGGGCTACGGTTTTATTCACTATCAAAATGAGGAATGCGCCGAAGCTGCCATTAAGGCTGTCAACGGAAAGATGATTAATGACAGAATTGTCTATATTGGACCCTTCATTCCACGCAGCGAAAGGAAATCTGCTGGAGGCAAAGCTAAGTTCACTAACTGCTACGTAAAGAATTTCGGCGACGAACTTGACGAAGAAGGCCTCAAGAAACTTTTTGGGGAATATGGGGAGATTAGGAGTGCCTGCATAATGCGTGACAGTGACGGGAAATCCAAGGGATTCGGTTTTGTCTGCTTTGCGGAGCCCGAGAGTGCAGAGTCCGCTGTCGAGAAACTTCATGGAAAAGACATAAATGGCCATTCCCTGTACGTCAGCCGGGCCCAGCGGAAGGCGGAACGCCAGGAAGTTCTTCGACAGCACTTCGAAAAACAGCGCGCAGAACGCCTCTCAAAGTATGCTTCGGGTGTGAACCTTTATGTCAAGAATCTGGACGACAGTATTGACGATGAACGGTTGCGAGAGGCTTTCAGTCCGTTTGGAAAGATTACCAGCGCTAAGGTAATGACAGACGGCGCCGGACACTCCAAGGGGTTCGGATTTGTCTGTTTCAACACTCCTGAAGAGGCCAAGGAAGCCGTCAACATGAACGGCAACCTCCTGGGTTCAAAGCCTTTGTACGTTGCTTTGGCTCAACGCAGAGAAGACCGCCGCCTGAAGCTCCTTGCAGAACACCAGCAGAGACTTCAGTACCACGCCAACGTTGGTAATATGTCGGCGGCCCATTCAATCACGAATTTCTTTGGTCAACCGACTTTCCCGCCCACACAGAGGTTCTTCTCCACCGGACCTCCACTTGCATCCCAGCCAAGGTGGAACCGTGCCGGCTTTACGGGCCCGCAAGTTCCACTGGGACACCCAGCCATGAACGCCGCTACGGCTCTTAGACCTCCACTGCCTGGCCAGTATGTTGCGAATTCCGGTGCAATGGCCATGTCTCAAACGCAGATGGCTCAGGCAAGCATGGTAGCACCGCAGTACCGAACTCAGGCTGCTGCTGCTGCCCGCGCGCTCGTCTCCGGCACTGTTCCTTCCGGCATGAGTGCGGCATCAATGGGAAATCCAGCCAACCTGATTGCCCCAGGAGCTGGTGGTCCGCATCAACATTACAACGGCCAGCGTGTCAACCTCGCCCCTCAGATGGTTCAGGGGACAAATCAGGCCGTACCGCGGCCAACTATGGCTGCAGTGACTGCCGGCACGGCTCGGGTACGTGCACACATTTCTCCATATTTTCCAAATCCTTATCGCTCATAATTATATCTTCTACTGTTTTTGTCTAGCCTCCACCAACCAACCAAATGCACCGTCAGGTGTTGCAGGCAACTGTACCTGGGGCCGCTTCTACCGCCGTCAGGTTCCACAATACTGCTCGCAACGTAAGTGCGCAGCCACAACAAGTCCTTCGATCAGGTCCACGTCCTGCCGGAGTTGGCGACCAACCGTACGCGTCAACACTGCCCAATTTGAGCAGCCTCTCGGAGCATGAGCAAAAGCAGTATCTCGGCGAACAAATTTTCCGCAAAATCGAAAAGATTCATCCCGAACTCGCCGGAAAGATTACAGGAATGCTTATTGGAATGGACACATCGGAGTTGATTCAGATGTGCGAATCAGATGAAGTTCTACGCAATAAGGTAAAGCTGACTTCCCCCTCACTGTTAGTGTTAGTTGGCGCAGCATTTGGTCTTTATACTCCCATTCCCGATCTCCATAGTTGTATTTGCTTAAGTACTTTATTTAGGGGGTTAGAGCCTTGCACAGCCCCTTACTTGGAATGCCATTTAGTGCGCAGTTCGGAGCCTTATTTAAATTCGGCGTCATGGCGCTAGAGGAAGATTGTCTAGGCACCTGGTTGTTGGCCGTCGTGTGCACAGTTATCGGCCACGAAGGAGCGTCTCGACAACTTTCATTTTGAAGCCATTTCCACTTTAAACTTCTGCCCTGCCTTTATTACCAGCCCACTTGTTACCCTGCCTTAAATTTTCGAACAGGTCCAAGAAGGCATTGCCGTACTCAAGAAGCGCGACGAAGTCAACTCGGCTGCACTTGAATCCAATGCCAACGCAGCGGGTCAAACTGGGGACTCTGCAAAAGTTGGCCCAACTGATGGCGCTAAGCAGTAACGCCGCCGCGACTGTCGGGAACCTTTTTCACCGAGCTCTAAGCACGCGTTGATGTTGGTGTTCTCATTAATTATCTAAATGGTTATATGCCTTTATCTTCTCCAATCGCCTGTTTCCGATCGCGGTCAGCATAGTCCTCTCTGGGCATTGCGCTTGCAACTTGGACAGAGTGAATTTCGTAACATCATGTGGTGATGCTGACCAAAGACTGTTGTCTGTTAGTTAATAAACTTGTTACCATTTTATGCGGGATGTTACAATGCGTTATTTGCACTTTCTAGTCTTGAATAATCATAAAGCAAGCGTGGTCTCAGCTTGCTCCCCTTTGATGAATGGATGTTGCGAGCGTACACACTCGGCAGTTAAGTTTTGTGGGCTTCCCACGTCTTGACAAATCTATCTAGTGAGAAGACGGACCGACATGTGTTCGTTTTGCGTCTCGCAGCCTCGAGTTCTACAAGCAAAATGTCATTTCTCCTTGCGAGTCGTTACACGTGCATAGTTAAATTTCTGGCGTGTGCAAGCCTACCGTTCCCCTACGTCCTGACTTTGCGGATTCTGCTGTTTGGAGTTCCGCCTTTGAAGTGACTTGGCGGACGCGCCGCACACCGATATTTAGCCTCTTGCCCGCTGAGCTGGCGCTCGCCGCTGCATTCTAAAAACCAACTTGAGTGCTGGTCTATAGTATCGGCATCTCGTACAGGGACGATTCCTCCCATTTCCGGTGTCACCGGCACTGATGGGGCCGTATTGTTGCATCGGTCCTCTCTTTCCGGACATGTTCTTTAGGAGCCGTAGCTCCGACATTCAACTCAGGGGTCGAAAACGGGGGGTACTTTCTACTATGCCGTTGCGCTGAACTCTTCACTGGCGTGCTTTTCTTCCCATCATGACATGACACCCGGCTGCGGCAGCGCCGGTGCAACCGATCGGTCTGCAGGCTTCAGTGCTCAGCGGTGGTGTCTAGGCTGTCAGCAAACAGATCATAAGCGTGAGTGGCTGACTTCCCCGATCGTCCATCTACCTCGTTGCTACGAGATCACACCTTGCTAACGCCAAGTATGCACTCGACCTGTTGGGACATTGTTCCTCTTTGGGGTAGTTCGCCGTCAGCATTTTGGGCCTGCCCGAACCTTAAGCAAGTGGGACAGGTCTGGTGGACGAGGCTGGGTCGTGTCAGCCCTCAGGCAAGGCGTCAGGGTGCCAAATGACAAATTCTCTCCTTGCATGCGCGTTGGCGGCGAGGACGCGGAGGAGGGTTGGGCCCTGAATGCGGTGTTCCACGGCATTCAGTTCCGCAGCTGCTAAATCTCCACTGCTTCCTCCGTGTGGTCGGTCCCCGCCTCACTTCCACTGTCACGGCAGGTGGTCGCGTCTACTGGTCTCCCCGTTTGGTATTCTGCGACGGCTGCGGGGTGATGGTGGCTCGGTTTCCCTACGTGGTACCCGTATTATGTCCGCTTTGCCGCCAGGTAAGCTAATTTATCCGCGATAGCCAGATGGTGACCCTTGACCGGCTGCAGCGTATTTTCAGCGGTTACTAATCGACATGTTCTCAGTATTCTGTTGGTGCCGACGACTAGTTTGGGATTTCCGCATCTGGGAGCGAAGGGTCTCATGTCCCCTACATCCGCGGCTAAGTGGTGGCATTGGCAACATAGGCACCGGCGAACAGAAGGTCATTTGTCGTGAGCTTTGGGACTACAGGCGCGCACGAAGTTAGGGGAGTTTGGGGCAGGAAGTGAGTCCCCGTCTCCGTAATACTGAGAGTTCCGGGTTGGCCCGTGGCGGGGTGTGCGGACCCTCATTCGATCTTGCAGTTGTCTCACCACGTACATGAGGTCTCCTTGACATTCGATATTGGCAACCAGAGTTCACCCACTCCGGTTCACCATGTTGAAGGTCCCTATCGGATAAGTGGGTGTGGCGGAGAGGTCCGAATTTATTAAAAATTAGTCTAGTTAACGGGCAGGGAAGATAAAGTCGATTATTTCGTGTTCTCAGGGTCCCCGCCGCGTCCGGGTCAAAATCGTTTCGGATGTAAGGTCTAGTCCTTAAGTATTAAGCATGCGACGGTTTTCAAACTGCTGTTTGGTAGTGTCCCCGCGGTGAGTGTCGTGTATTTGTCAGCCACACCGCTCTTAGGAATAGTGAAGCCGTGACCGATTTTTTCTGGGCCCGATATCTGGAACAAATGCATGCGGTTTGCGTATCGTCCCATTCCGAGGTGCGTCCCCCCATCGTGACTGACAGTTCGGTCGTTGTTTCCGACGGTGTCCACCGTGTGCCCCACAGCACGGTGAACGCGGTTATGGTGACTTGCGTGTAAATTAGTAGTGATGGTAGTCTTGCTCAACATCCCCCTCACACTCCTCACTCAAGCCCCCGGGTTCCGACGCCAGGACAAAGGACACCGGGTCGGGCGCAGTTGCCTGGTACGGCGTGGACCCGCACCTAGGCGTGCCACTACCCCCTGGTCTACTACGTACAAAGGTCCGGGATTTCACAGGACGAGGAAGGGAGGCGGCTCCGGTTCCAACTGAGTGGGTGTGCCACATAGGCCACATTAAGGAGCTATTACAGCCTGAAACTCCGTCCTGAGAGGAGGACCAAGTTATGCAGTCAGTTGGCGGACTTCCACGACACGCCTCCGGGCGCACTGGCAGATTCAAGGGCGTCAGATCATTTATAGTGGGAAATACACTGACAGTCAACCTCACACTCCTCCCCCTCCCGTGTTCCAGTTGATTGCTCAAGCCTACCCGTCGGTTGATGCTGAGATTGGGTACGGCGACTGAGAACCAAAAGCAACAAATCTGTCCATACCATGCGCGAGACTTGATCCCCACCAAGATTTCACAAGGGGATAGACTTCTGGGGTCTCACATGTGTTAAATTAACATAGGGGCCAAACAGCACGATTTCCATTTGCGCGAGAGGTGCCGATCCCGTGCTTGTGGTGGGTGATGGGGTACGGTTCCTCGTATGGTGTATGTGGTGGGAGGAGGTATGTGGTGATGGAGTTTGGCCGGGGATGTTTTGCCGCAGGTCCCAATGGATGCGCACATGGCTGAGTAGGCCCATGCGGTCCGTGAATGGGCGTGGACAGCTGAGACGGCTGCGGTAGCTGTATTCTATTGCTTCAGACACTGGTCCACCAGTCTCCCAGCGGCGGATTCGCACTTGGTCGATCAGGCCGATGCGTGATGTGCACGCGCAATGGCAATGCCGGTAGGATAGGTAAGGAGCTGCTGAGTCGGTTGCGATGGTGATACCGCTAATGGTGGCCGCGCTGGTGGATGGGAAGTTGGTAGACTTGGAAACGGGGGAGTTGTCAGGTGTCGATGTTTCGATGTATTTTCTGTCGTGAATGCTGAGTTAGCTGGGTAGGCCCTTGTGGTGAGGGAATGCGTGTGGCCAGTGGGGGTGCGCGTGACCGGTTTGTACTGCTGCTCCTGGCGTTGGTTTGCCGGTCACTGCGACCGGAGAGGCCGATGCGTGAGTCGAAGGCCGGCCTGGCTTCGGAGATCCAGTGCTGATCCCCATCGTCGATTTTTGTGCTTTATGAGTGTACGGCCCAAATAGACGAATTTGTCCACGTCCTGATCTGTGTGCCGTCGAGAGTGATACGATGGGCGTTGTATTCAGCATTGGACGACGTCTGGTGCATGATCACCGTTTTGTTCGTGTTGATGGTCGACCCGGAGGCTGAGCAGCCGAAGGACAGAAGTTCTTCCTCTGTTTCGTATTCGCATCTTTCTCGGCGTTGGTCGTTCATTCGTCTGCCAAGAGCAGGTCCTGGACAGAAGTCGCGGATAGACGCGTTGATGTCCGCATGTGTTGTGTACTGAGGAGACGACTGTCGGCCCTGTAGTCGACGCTGATCCCAGAGCGATCATCACGGTGTGGGTCCATCTACATGGAATATAGTGTAATACTAAAGAGGGTATGAGTGAGTACACAGCCCTGCTTCACTCCATTGGTCATTTAGAATGCTTCTGAGACTGACCGATTTTCTGTGGAACGCGCAATTATGCCGTCGTGGAGCTGACCCATCATGTGTGTGTCACTCAGGATTGCCTAATTTCTGCATGATTTTCTAGTGTCCATTACACTTCACCTTGCCGTATGCTTCCATCAGGTCCACGAGGGTAGTGTAGGGGTGAGTCTACATTTCTTGACACTTCTCTTGTGGTTTTTGGTCAGCGAAATTTATGTCAACGGTGCCACGGATGCCTTGAAGTCCACACTGTCTTTCTGGGAGGGGTTGCTTTTTCCAGGTGCGTGTTCATGCGATTGGGGAAGACGCGAACGAAGATTTCTCCTGCAATGATGAGGAGGAAAATGTCTCGGTATGTGTCTCAGTGGTTCCCGTTTCTTTTACGTTTGTAGAGGTGAACGGTTTTCGCGTTCTTGAATTCCTGGGGAACTTGTTCTTGGCGTCACATTTCCTGGAACATCGTTCTAAGTTTGTCCGTCAGCTGGGACCACAATGCTCGTGGACTTCAGCCGGGATCGCGTCGGATCCCGGTGCTTTCCCTCTGGGTGGGTGCTGCGCCGTTCTGACTGTTTCTGAGAGGTAGGGCAGGAGGTTCAGGTCATTGTTCTTTTCCACCTGAAGGCGCTGGTCGATGGTGTTGTCGGCGAAGGTCGATGGGCTGTTGAGAAAGGCTTTGAAATGCGCAGCCCAGTGCCTCAGGCTCTGCGATTTCTCCGCGAATAGTGTTATTCCGTTGGAGCTGAGAATCAGCGCGGTTTCTTTGCTTATAGGGCTGTAACCTGCCTTTATGGAGACGAATATATTCCTCGTTTTGTTGCGATCCGCGTACCCTTGTATTTCTTTGACCTTGCTGTCCATATAGGCGTCCTGTACCTCGCGCAACCGTTGCTGCACTAAGGTGTGATATCTGTGGAAGGCCGTCCCGCCTTCGTCGGTTCCGCATTATACGTAGGCTTTTTGCAGAATATTTCAAGCAGACTGTAGATTCCTCCATCGTCAT